GTGTGTGTGTGTGTGTGTGTGTGTGTGTGTGTGTGTGTGTGTGTGTGCATGTGTGTGTGCGTGTGCGCGCAGGCCCTCAGGCAGCAGATGGAGGTCCTTCAGCAGCAGTTCAGGCAGAGAGAGAGTGACTGGTCTGAGAGAAAACTCTGAGCTGAGGGAGAAACCAACAGTTACACCACAGTGCAGCCCAGAGGCCGGCCGATGTACTGCACACACGCACACTGTACTGCACACACGCACCCTACACCAGGAGGCTCAGTCAGAGGTAAAATAGGAATAGGAATAGGAACTACGACCGCCTTTCTGATAGAAGTTCCCGTAGTGGCACCAGCGTAGTCATCTGAAGCATTTCTATTTTTATTTTGTCGTCTTCTCCTCAGCTCACAAATCACATGAATCACATCAACATGGAATCTCCCCCCTGTATCCTGTCAGTCATATTTGACCCTGAATTGTGGTGCCCTTCAGTATACACAGCGATAACCACAATAACTCTTCGTCACACAGTTTGTTTGACCAGACTGACATCATGGGGGTGACATGAGTTAGTGCAGGGTCTCCTCAAACGACATGAAAAACTAAAAAGAAAAGAAAAACAACATAACAAAACATAATAACTTACTCCTAATGGACTGGGGGCGGCTCAAGGCAATGATACCCATGAGAAAAAGATTTTAAAAACTAGATACAAGGAGACAAAAGGAAGTTGAAAAAATGTTAGACTTGGTTAGACTTCATCCACCCCTTACTATTAATTGATTAATTTACATATTTACCAATGTTTGAGCAAACTTCTCATGTACTGTTTGCGACATCTTCTATCGCACACGCACAGAGAGACTGAGGAGCAGAATCTGTTGTTGACCGCCGCAGAGAAATGCACTTTTTGGTGTGATCACCGGTTGTAGCAAGCTGTGAGGTCACCGAGGTCCGGACCTATAGTAGTGAGATTTATGCCTTATCAAAAGTGTTTTCTGTTAGTATCACTTTCATTGGGCATGGCGATTTTTTTCCTTGAAATATTAGGACTTTATTGCTCGTAATATTACAATGTTTTTCTCAAGATATTGAAACTATTTCCCAACTTCCCAGATTACACTGATATAAAAACGTTTTCACAGGCTGAAACACATGTGAGCTATTACATTTCAGAAGTTTATAAATTAATTAAAATAAAGTTAATTTATCATTGAGGTGAATAGTTGCCACATGAACATTTAAAGAGGTTAAAGACACAAAAGAGGAGGGAAGAGAAAAAAATGCCTACAGGCAAAAGAAAAGATGATCTACAGGAGAATAAATATAAAAAAAATACAGAATGTTTCAGAGCCTTACTGCATTATGTTACGTTATATTTTTATATTTTGAATTATCACCTGGCACCTGAATTTAGTGGTTTCCTTATCATAAATAAATACTTTTCCACCATTAAAGGCTGCAGAAAAATTCACTAGAATGCAGGAAATGTTGTGGGGGAGGATCCCTACACTCCCCGTTTCAATATGTGAAACCAAACCTACGCCCTTGCCTCTCATACACTCTACTCACAGCTACTTAGTTATTTTACTGCCGTGTAAATCTGGTTGGTATCAAATGATTCAAGCACATAATACTTAAGTGGTCTTGAAGCACACCCGGGCAATAATTTATGAGAAAGGTGGTGTCAAAGCACTGACTGACCTCATTACAGGCGTATGCATTGCAAGTCGATACGCTCCCCGTACCGGCCGTGTCACTGCCCAAACTTGATTTAACCTTAAAGGGCAACTTAAAGTTGCCAATTAAATAGGAGAAAAAAAATAGTATTGACATTTAAAATAAATCAAGGATTCAGGCTCTTTCAGTGGTAATTTGGATAATATTTGATTTAAATAATAATAATTAAAAAAAATTAATTTCCCGAAAGAATATGTAAATTTTCCCTCAAAATAATTCAGAGATGAGTATTTTGCACTGACAAAGATGTCGTTATCTCCCGAGATGGAGCAGCTTGTCTCCAACGGGTGCGGCCTGGTGACTCAGACTGACTGGACATGTAAAGTAACTTCTGCAGACCAGAAGACGAAAACAGTCACATTCTTCAATGGCGACGTCAAACACATTCTGGAAGATGGCAAAGTGGTGAGCTCTGTGGCTGCCTTTGTTACCTTTATGCATGTTTAAGAACTTTTTAAGTAAAGATTCTTTTTTTTAATGTTTTCATGGTTTGTTTTCATTTCTGTGCATTGACCTGATCACATAAATATGTTAATATTGATTTACTGATTTGGATCACTTAGATCATGCGTATATGTGTGTTACAGGTGTATTACTATGCTGCTTCACAGACAACACACACCTCCCACCCGAGTGGTCTGGAGGTCTTTAACTTCCCCAACAAGCAGATTGGTAAGAGAGCGCCTGGACGGACTAATCTACATCTGTCATTGTTTGAGTATTATGTTTCATGTCATATAGTCCTCATCTTTAAAGAGTCTATAATTGATATTTTTTAACAACAATGTATCAAATATAAAAGTGAGGCTTTACCAGGTCTTACAGTTTAGCTCTCCGGCTGATACTTTTTTATCTTTATAAACATGTATTTATTGATTTTTAGACTTGTTCAATTTGACAATTCACAACGATACATTGTAGCAAGACATGAAATAGTCGCACTAATGCACAATCACCCACAAAACACATACAAGGTTATAACATTACATAAATGACATACTGGACAATATATCATTGTATGGTAGACATAAGAGCTACATCTGCATTCCGAGAGGATATATCACCTTCAAGTTTCCAAAGCTTCCCCAAGCTCACAATTCTCCCAGAATGGAAGAAGAGGACTCCAAACCTCATCAGATTTGGCAGATTATGTTTTCATTGTGTATGTTAATTCCCCCCGGCTGCTACTTTACAGTTTTAGTGGAACATAATGGAGCACTTAGTAGCTCCGGAGGTAGAGGTCAAAAACATAGCTAAAAGAGAGAAAATACTGGACTCACATTCATCAGGTAGACACAAAGACGACTCAAAATGAATGATCGTGTTGCTAAAAAAGCAACTGTTCCCCATGTACAGTATATCAATCACCTTAACAGGTAATGATGTATCAAAGCTGTTTCTGCTGCCCCCCTGTGGCCAAAAATATCAGTTATTGCAGGTTTAAATCAACAGCTTTCCAAATATAGATGCAAAGCTGAAAATAGAAATAATATTTAATACCTAACGTCTATCATAGAACTGACCGAACCCGATTTATTATGATTTAATGACAAACTGACAACGTAACGTATCAGTTGGCCAACATCTCTAACAGACAATGGAAAACGTTTGCAGACTTTGCCCCTGTATGACCACAGCTCATAGTATAGCCTTTCATTCGTAATGTGTCTCCTTCTGTAACAGAGAAGCGACACCCTGGGGGGAAGAGAGAGATCCTATTTCCAGACCAGACCATCAAGTATCTGGAGCCTGACGGCAGCGAGAGGACGATCTTCCCTGACGGCACCATCGTTCACCTCTCACCGTGAGACTGAAGTCGCTGCTTTATTTCATTATATCAGCTTCGGGGTGTCTGCAGGGTCAGAAAGCCAGTGGAACCTATGGAACACGAGCTTTCCTCATCAATAAATGACACCGTGAGGTAACCAGTAAGAGGACAGACGGTCACGTCATGGAGTTTTGATATCAAACCCTTAACGTCTGGTTGATGGAATGGGAAAATGCTCTTATTCTACAGTCTGACAGTATCTTATCTGTAGTCTGTGTCTGTAATTTTCAAACTCAGGTCTGGTGAGCGTGCCAAACTATAATTACTAGCTTCATGTTGTTCTTAGATGCCGATATGAACCCGTTGTGGTTCTGTTAATCATAAAAACATTGTACGGGGCCTAATCACAACCTGAAAGAAGTCATTTGTTCATTGTGCCTTCTGGGTCGTCGTCTCTCTTCTCCAGGTCAGGCGAGAAGATGGTCGATTTCCCCAACGGTCAGAGAGAAACCCACACTACCCAGTACAAGAGGAGGGAGTATCCTGATGGGACGGTTAAGACCATCTACCCAGACGGACGACAGGAAACCAAGTACGCATCAGGCAGAATACACACCAAGGAAAAAAGTTCTTAAATCTTAAATCAATGTGTGTGTTGTGTGAGGCGGAGAGGGTTTGTGTGTGTGTGTGTTTGGGGGTGTAGTGCTGTGAGGAAATACTTTTAGTAGGTTACAGATTACAGATGTTCACACATTGTAGACTTCACTTTGTTTCATTACTAATTATTTATTTGATAATTATGACCACTGTACCACATGCTGAACACTGAGGGGAGAATAAACAAAAGGATTGCGCAGCTTTTGCAGATGCTAAACCTGCACAAATAAGACACACAAAAACATCTTGTTGTGTAGTTCTCAAAGGTGAAATGCACCCCTAACCTCTAAAATTGTATTTTTCAAAAACTTTGTTATGTAATTTATTTTTAAATCCAGTCCTTATTTAACTTGAAACAAGAGAACATGTATTTATTATTAGATTATGTATTATTTATAATTCATCCAGTTAAATTTGAAATCTGACAATAAATATTGTTGAGATATTATTCATTCACTTTCTTTATTTGATTTGTCAGTTGTTGACTACATACAGACGTAAATACAACTGTTGGCTACTTCAATATATATGGGACTAAATCATAGAACAAGTTAGACATTACTGTGATGTTACGGACCTTTGCGTGAGGAAATTCTCTCTAACTGGACTAACTTTAATTGAATACCCCTGATAATTTTCCTGGGAAGATATTTTGGCGTACAGAAGTGATGTGTACACGTTCACTGTCATAGATGTAACAGAAACTGTAAAAGAAAACCAAAAAACTCGAAGGAAAAACAGCTCAGTGCTTAGCAACACATCAGGAAAGTGGGTTAAGTGGGTTTAAAACATTGACTGAGCAACGGAGGATCCTTCGGCCCCCACAGCAGTGCATCAAACTCTTCACCATCCGTCTCCTTCTTCACCTCCTCTTCTCTCCTCAACCTCTCGCCTGGTGTGGCCAACTGGGCAGTGAGCTTGTGAAGCTCCTGTATGACCACCTTAACATCCAGTTCATGCCGTGAGGCCCTCAGAGTGGCGGCATTAAACGGGAATGTCCGTATGAAGTCTCCGACTCTGAGCGGAGGAACGTGTTGTCCGTTCAGAGTCCTCTCCATCCTTACTGCTCCGTGACTCCCACTGTGAAACAACCACAGCATTTGTTTTAGTTACCCTATTTGAATGTTTGGAATTGGCTGGTATTTTCTGCCCTCAATTTAGGTTACATGTTTACTATTTTCAAGCCATAAAATGTACTTAACATAATGCACAAAACTCTAAGACTCCAAAACAATATTTAAGTCACAAGAAACTAAACAGTGTCACTGAAACCAAGAATTATGTAATAATAATAATGATTTTAATACATTCATGCATACTTGATTAGGATGTCTGTTATATTTGGGTGAAGATCTTCCCTGTGGACAAGCATTAGTAATGATAAAATCTGCATTTTTTACGTGTATTTACCTGTAAATGTTGGGGAGCTTTGACCGTCTAAATCCCAGCTCCCTGTGTGGGGTATCGCGTATCGAAGAGGACGCGTCTGCCTCTCCAGAGCGCTCCGTCTCAGCTTCTGTTTCAGTGTCGTCGTGGCTTGTAACCTCAGACACGTGAAGACTCCTCTGCGGTGCGAGAGCCGAACACGTCCGTCTGTTCACCACTGACGCATTTTTCCTTGAACACGGGCCGAATATCAGATTCAGGGTCTTGTCCCTGTGGGTTTCGTTGGCTAGTCTGCCCCTGGTTGCATATATCTGGTTTGAGTCAACAGGGGGAAGGCGTCTTTGGTAGTCGGCCCCAGAAGCATGTTGTCTGGACCGTCTTTGGTTCATCTTTTCAGGCTGGCGTAGAGTTTTTATAGGAGGTAGTGTCTGTGAGGACTGGCTGCCACTCCTTTGCTTCTGCATTTTGGTTCCTTCAAACTTGGAGAGCATGGGTGGTGTTGGAACATGCGAGCGGCGCTTGGCGCGGAAACAAAGCCGCTTGTACCCATGTCTCCGATCGGCCCTCTCTCTCAAGCTGTCGCTCAATGTGTAGTTCATCAAGTCAATGAGGTCGCTGATCAGCCCTCTCTTCACTGTAATATCCACTTGGCAGTCCAGAGTCAACGCAGGGCTGTAGTTGACCTCCAGCAGCCACGGTTTCAACGTGACGTCGACGAGGATGTCGAAGCCTAACAGCTCCACGCAGTTTGGGCAGGAGGGGACGGATGGAGCGATGGCGAGGAGGGTCAGGGTGACGATGTTGTTGATCCTCTGCCACAGGAGGAGCTCGTTGATGTCCTGGCTGTGGAGAAAATGCCTGAACTTGCTCATGGTCCACTTGCATCCTTGGCCCACTCTCCCCTTTGCCGCCTTGTAGAAGGGGCCGAACTTGTTGATGCTGGTGTTGGTGAGGTGAGCGTACAGGTTGCGCAGGGATGACAAGTTGTACTTCTCGGTGGCGAAACGCACCAGACCTTCTTGGTGGATGTAAACGGTCAGCGGGTGAAAGCTCTTCACGCACGCGTAGATCCGCAGGTCGAACTTGTAGCCGGAGATCAGCAGGGGTTTGCTGATGTACCGCTGTACGATCACAGAGCAGTCGTAGACCAAGTCCTTAACGTCCTCGAAGATGAAGATCCCCCGGCCTCTGGAGAGATCCACAGGCTTGCATATCCAGTAGACGGGCGGTCCCCGGGTCACGTGCAGGTTGTTGTATTCAGACAGGAAGCGGGTGTAGTGGTTGGGGAGGATGAAGGCGGTGGGACTGAAGTCGTAGAGAGATGAACCAAACGTGGCTCTCATTCTCCTCAGGTTGCGAGCCAAGCAGTCCTTCCAAAAGAATTACAAATCATTCTCTCAGGGTGCGATCATTTTAACTGAGAAGATCTTTCAAACTGGTTTCTCTTTGGAAACTTGTTGGGTTTGGTATTCTTGGCCCCATTTACACCTGGTATTGCAAACACTTGGTTATGTTTAGGCATCATAACTACTCTGTTCAGTTTAGGAAAAGATCGTAGTTTGGGTTAAAAATACCAGAATGTTCTTCTAAATCATGTCCCATTTTTTGCATAGTTGAGATTAATGCAATAAAAACTCGTAACCATAATATATTTTTAAAACAGATTTGTATTTTGTGAATACTTCCTCTATGATATATCCGTGTTGAAAGTCTTGACAAACCTCATAAAGTACAAACACACATGATTCTGGTGTCACTGTCGAAAAGCACAAAAAAGTCTCTGCATTTCTCTGACTCACAAAGTTAACACACGTGACCGTTATCACCTTGCGTGTGATGCCAACAGTTCTGGGATGGTGGTTGAGGCGCTGCCATGGCAACAGGTTGTGATACTCTGAGTTTCGAAATGCAGAGCGCCGCCAGTAGAGGTTCCAGTCTTCCTCCTCCC